TTTTTTTTTCCTCAGAATTGACAAACTTGCAATTGTTGAGTTGAATTAAGTTATAAAGTCCGAACTAGGAGATATAAACTTGCATTTGCAAGAAAAAAGTCAGAATTGTGAGATAAAATAGGTAAATGTTATATAAAATGTTATAGGTTTAAATAGTATTTCATGCATGTATTTCAACTGTAGGGCTAATACAATATGTCCCCTATATGAATATTATATAGGCCTATTGTTTAAATCAAATTTGTGCTTTAAAAGTAGGATAATCATAGCAGGTTTCATCCATAGTCTGTCCATTTAAACGTCTGCGTTTAGCTTCAAAAGGCGTCTTTGACGACAGTGTTATATAAAAATTATTTGCATTCTGATTCTGACATCCAAAGGCACAACAACACATTTTTTTTCTCTTATTCCATGGATTTTACCCGTTTCTCTCCACTTGTTCCCAGCGTTTTTATGCCATTCTAATGTGTTGTGGAATGTGCATACAAAAACAATATTTAATTGAAATAAAATAAACAACTGAAATAAAATATAATAAAAAACTTAAACTTATTTTATTTCAGCTAGTTTCAACACTTTTTCGTTTTTACGTTGAAGTACTAAAGTAAAATAACTAAAACTATATAGACATACTTAAAAACAAACTAGTAAAAATGACAAACACACAAAAAATTACTAAAACTTTAACTAAATAAAGATAAATACTAATCAGAATATTAACTATAATAGTATGTCACAGTGGGTTAAAGGCAGCTGCACAGAACCAAAAAATATATGTTGTCGTATTTTATGTCAGTTTATACAGACTACATGTAATTACAGATACTTTTATCTTTTATTTATCATATTAATTTAGCTGGGAATCGAACCCTAATCTTGCTGTTGCGAGCGTCATGTTTCTACAGTTTGAGCTTCAGGAAAGCACACAGAATTAAGTGCTTTTCCACACGTCTGTAGAAAGTTATGGGACGATTGATACAGTTTTAAAAATCATAATGTGTGAGAATTATTCATGTTAAAGCTTTACTGCTGTTACCTGATGAATCCAGCCAAGTTCAATTTGAGCTACACCAAAAAAAATGTATTTTTAACATTTATACAATGCCACTGATTGGCTGTTTTCGATGTGTTTTTGTAGGAACGGTAAGAGAGGGCAGCAGGGCTGGGAGAGGAAGTATGTGGTGCTGGATGGGACAAAGTTATCGATCTACGAGTCCGAGCCGACAGAAGGTAGACGATCACTCCGTCAGATCTCTCCACGAGATGCAGCTGGGTGTGTTTTCTGAACTCTGTGTGTTTCAGACTCGGTGAAGCCGCTGGAGGAGTTTGAGCTGTGTTTGCTGGACGGTGAGGTGACGGTGCACGGAGCTGTCGGAGCCTCGGAGCTCATCAACACGGCCAAATCAGGTCAGAACATGACTGTGCTCCAGGAAAAATTTAATCATTTTACACATGCATGTGGTTAGCAACATCCTGGGCTTTAGTTCCGCTTCTGATAGTCCCAAACGTTGTATTTTAGTGTGTACTGTGGATTATAGTCGATGTGGTGTTTTAGTTTTCATGAATATTTTGATTTATTTTTTTATATATATATTTTTAATGTTTAATTTTTGTTAGTTATTAGTAATTTTGTTGCATGTTTTTGTCATTTATTGAGTTTTTATAAATTTTTTGTTATTTTAAGACATGAAGTTAAACTAGTTTTTATTAATATTTTGAATTAATTTTTATTTTTATATTTTCTCTTTTCATTTAGATTTTAGTTGAAATTTTAGTAGTTTTGTTGTGTTTTTTTTGTTAGTTATTAGTAATTTTGTTGCATGTTTTTGTCATTTTTGAGTTCTTATTAATTTTTTATTTCAGTTTTAGTTATTTTAAGACATGAAGTTAAACTAGTTTTTATTAACATTTTGAATTAATTTTTATTTTTATATTTTCTCTTTTCATTTCGATTTTAGTTGAAGTTTTAGTAATTTTGTTGTGTGTGTTTTTTTTTATTTGTGTATTCAGTTTTTATTAACTAAATAATATGAGAAATATTGCTTTGGCAGCTAACTAAATAACATAAGTTTAGGGGTTTGTTATTTTATGGTATTTCAGTTATTTTATTTTAAGCACTGAATGCTTTTTATGGTTTTAGTTAAATATGATAACCCTGATTCACACTTTTCTGCTCAATCAGTTAATGTTTTTTAAATCATATTTACTATATTTAAATACATTTAGCATATTTCTGCCCACAATCGGCAAAAACAATTGTCAAAAGTGTCATTAGCTTTGTTTAAAGGAATACGAAGTAACTTCATATTTAATTGTTTTGCTGCCTCTTATTTGTCTTCCTGATGTGATTATAGAAATACACCATTGACACGTGTATTTGTTTACACGGTTAATTCATTCTGCTTTTTAAAGTGTCTGATAATAGATGGGTTTATTGAGATAAACGTGTCTGTGTGTGTCTGTGCGTGTGTGCGTGTGTGCGTGTGTGTCTGTGTGTGTGTGTGT